ATATCTTCACATTTTTATCTTTACTGTACCAGTACATTGCCCAACCTTATTTGTGCTAGGGATTATTTTTCCAGACCTGACCATGTTTTCAGAAAATTGATTTTATAGGGAGAAAAGGGGTTAAGAAAACCATTGTCACCACATAAGATTCATTGGAACTGTCTTAAAAGAATAGCCTGACCTGAGCAACAGAAAACTTTCAAAAAACAAACAACAAATTGCAAACTCTACACCACTATGTTTAACAGCTCAAACACACAATGCACCGCAATACAAAACACCTTTCATAAACATTACAGTACCATTTTTGAAAATGAAGAATGCTAAGAAGTTCCAAGGAGTGAAATTCACTACACTAGGCATGATAAAAATAACATAACAAGAAAACTACATGGTGCGTTCTGGGAAACACTGGTAACCCCCAAGCAACAGCAGCAGACAGGAACAGACAGATAAGGAAAAGACAGATCAACTCTGCATGCAGCAAGGTATTCTTGGAGTTCTCTGCACTAAGAGATAGAAAGAAGCAGAACCCAAAGCAGCACAAGCAGGGCTAGCACTCTCCCTTCATCTATTCTTAGTTCTGAAATACTTCACATCAGCACTGGCCCCCTACACCGTCCACAGCTACGAACTACTAAAGGTCTGACTTGTAGAGAGGAAAAAAGATGTGGCTTACATGAGAATCTGCTTAACACAAGGCAACACCAATTGGAATTCACATAATAACAAGGAGATCACTGTAGCTAAAATATATGGTTGATGCCTTGTTGGTGGCAATTTTCTACTTCACCCAACTCAGATACTCCAGGTTACACAAAGTTAGCTGGGGAAACAAAGAACAATAGAATATTATTTTAAGTTACTAAAAATGTGAGCCATGTGGCAAAACTATGCCATCGGCATCAACAGAGTCAATCTAAACAGTATAACTATACAGAAGTATGAGAATTTAAAATATTTAAACTAATTGCTTATATAACTATTCTAACAGTAGGAAAAAGAACATGCACCGTGTGTTCAGCGAGGCAATCAGACTACCATCTAGCTTAATTAGCTGATCACTGAGACATTTTCATTTGTATTTTAGCTTTATATTCAAAATTCTCTATATCATTACTGACCAGTGTTTTTGTCTAAACCAACCAAATCCTTTACTTTTGGTAAGGGTTACCTGTTACCAGTAAGAGTCTCACTGGATCTACAGGTGGCTTAAAATACCTCATGGAAGAAAAAAAAAAAAAAACCCTTACTACAGATGCCTTTTGAATTGAGTAAAAGATCTCCAACAGATCTAAAAGTTACCACTCCAGCATTTAAATTTTGCAGAAGAACAATACACATCAGAACAACTCAGTGTTACACAATGTAAAAAGGTTACCAAACACATTCATTAAAATCCTGATTCCGTAAATTTCACAAACAGATAACGCTACTTACAGTAACAGCTGTGTCATGTGTTTGGACAGTTTAGGCCTTCATCCCACATTCTGTTGATGAAGCTACACTGGCTTTAATGTTAAAGACACTAAAACAATTGTATCCATGCCATGATGAGGAGGTAGAACACAAGACCCTGCTCCTTTAAACTGAAAAGAACTCAGAACTTTTCCAGAGAACTAAATGTACTTCTAAATAAGATACATACAGGCACAGACACCTTTCAGTCCAAGGTAAAACACAAAACCACTTAAGAATAAAATTTTAAAAATAAACATCAGCTTAAAAAAAAAAAAAGAACAGAATTAGAGGTGAAACTGTTGATATGGTTAACTCCAAGCCAAAATTATTATAGATACTGCCAGTATTCATACTTTCTTTACACGGAATCACACTGAATCATTAAGGTTGGAAAAGACCTCCAAGGTTATCCAGTCCAACTGTCCACCTACCACCAATACTGCCCACTAAACCACGTCCCTCAGTACCACATCTAAAAGTTTCCTGAATGCTTCCAAAGATGGTGACTCAACTGCCTTCCTGGACAGCCCTTTCCAGCCCCTGCCACTCTTTCAGAGAAGTTTTTCCTAACATCTAATCTGCATCTCCCCTTGTGCAACTTAAGGCCACTCCCTCTAATCCTTTCACTGTTACCTAGAAGAGGCCAACCCCCACCTCACCACAAACTTCTTTTCAGGTAGTTATAGAGCAATAAAGTCTCCCCTGAGCATCTTCTTCTCTACACCAAACAAACCCTCAGCTGCTCCTCCCAAAACTTGTGCTCCAGAGCCTTCACCATCTTTGGTGCCTTTCTCTAGACACGACAGAATCACAGATCACAGAATCACACAATGGCCAGGGTTGAAAGGGATCTCAAGGATCATGAATCTCCAACCTCCCTGCCACAAGAAGGGCCACCAACCTCCACGTTTAATGCTAAACCAGGCTGCCCAGGGCCCCATCCAACCTGGCCTTGAGCACCTCCAAGGACGGGGCATCCACAGCCTCTCTGGGCAGCCTGTTCCAGCACCTCACCACTCTCTGGGTAAAGAATTTCCTCCTGATGTCTGACCTAAATCTCCCCTCCCTCAACTTAAAACCATTTCCCCTCGTCCTACACATATCAACCCTTTCAAAGAGTTGATTCCCCTCCCCTCTGTAGGCTCCCTTTAGGTACTGAAAGGCTGCAATGAGGTCACCCCACAGCCTTCTTTCCTCCAGGCTGAACGAGCCCAGCTCCCTCAACCTGTCTTCATAGGAGAGGTGCTCCAGCCCCCTGATCATCTTCATAGCCCTCCTCTGGACCCTCTCCAACAGCTCCATGTCTTTTTTGTACTGCGGGCTCCAAACCTGGACGCGTATTCCAGATGGGGCCTCATAAGAGCAGAGTAGAGGGGGACAATCACCTCCCTGTCCCTGCTGGCCACCCCTCTTCTGATGGAGCCCAGGATACCATTTGCCCTCCGAGCCGCAAGAGCACACTGTTGGCTCATATTAAGTTTTTCATCCATCAGGACCCCCAGGTCCTTCTCCACAGGGCTGCTCTCAAGGACTGCTCTTTCCAGCCTGTACAGATGCCTGGGATTCCTCCAGCTCAAGTGCAAAACTTTGCACACTGCTGTGTTGAACCTCATCAGGTTCACCCAGGCCCACCTTTCTAGCCTGTCGAGGTCCCTCTGAATGGCATCCCTTCCTTCCACCGTGTCAAACGCACCACTCAGCTTGGTGTCACCACAAACTTGCTGAGGGTGCACTCAATTCCGTCATCGATGTCATTGATAAAGATGCTGAAGAGCACCGGTCCCAAGACAGACCCCTGGGGGACACCACTCGTTACCAGCCCCCACCTGGACATAGAGCCATTGATGACCACCCTCTGTCTGCGGCCTTTCAACCAGTTTCTTATCCATTGAGTGGTCCACCCATCAAATCCACATCCCTCCAATTTGGAGATGAGGATGTGGTGGGGACCATGTCAAAGGCCTTGCTCTAGTCTAGGTAAATGACATTGGTCGCCTTTCCCTTATCCACCGATGCCATCACTCCATCATAGAAGGCCACCAGATCGGTCAAGTATGACCTTCCTGTGATGAAGCCGACCCAGGGCCTTGATGTCTTTCTTGTACTGAGGGGTCCAAAACTGAACACAGTACTCAAGACGGGGACTCAGCAGAGCTGAGTAATGGGGACAACCACCTCCTTGCTCCTGCAGGTTACACTATTTGTGATACAAGTCAGGATGTTGCTGGCCTTCTTGGCTATCTAGCTCACGTTCAGCTGAGCATCAATCAATGCCCTCAAGTCCTTTTCCCCCCTGCACTATTTCTGCCACTGTGTCTCAACTCTGTAGCATTGTCTAGGGTTGTTATGACTGAACTGCAGGATCTAGCAATTGATTTTGTTGAACTTCATCCCGTTGGCCTCAGCCCAGCAACCCAGACTGTCCAGATCCCTCTGTAGGGTCATCCTACCCTGAGTCATGTCAACACCTTCCTCCTAGCTTGGTGTCATCTGCAAACTTCCTGAGGGTGCAATCAATGCCCTCATTCAGGTCATCAATAAAGATATTGAACAGGACAGGCCTCACTACTGACCCCTAGGGAACACCACTTGTAACTGATCACCAGCTGGATTTAACTCCATTCACCACCACACTGGGCCTGGCCACGCAGCCAGTTCTTTACCCAACAGAGTGTACTTGTCCAAGCCGTGGGCTGCCAGCTTTGCAGGAGAATACGGTGGGAGACAGTGTCAGACTTTGCTGAAGTCTAGGTATATCAAAATTTCACAGCCCTCTTTCATCTCATCGATTATGTTACTTCCTTGTCTAGCTCCTTGCAAAATGGACCTATTCATGAGAGCAGCTGCCTCGGCACCGAGCAATAAAGCTCCTACTTTATCCCATGCCTCAGGTGCAAATCTTCTATCCACAGGAGGTTTGCTGCTGCTGAAGGCAGTTTGTTTCCTGCATTTATCCTGCTTCTTGGAAGAGCCCAGCATGCAGCAAGACAATGCATTCAGGTACAGAACAAGCTGTTATTTGTCTAAGCGGGAACTAGTTAATGTGTAGCACGTTATTGTTGTTTCCTTCCTCTCGTCCCCCACGTACTTCCGAGAGCAGCGGGTAGCAAGGCATGTCGGCACACAAGCGGCAGACGAACGTCCCGATCACCGCAGCGGGGTCCTCCGAGCGGCTAACTCAGCCGCAGCAAAGCCACGCGTGCGGCCGCGGGAGCAGCAGTGGGGTTCCCTCAGGGCGCCCGCCCGGCCCCAGGCTGCGCCGCGTCTCCATTCGCGGCCGCGGCGGCGCCCCCGGGTCTGCCCCACCGCCTCCTCAGGGTACGGGTCCGCGCACAGGCTTCCGCCCGCGGCCGATCCCGCTCCCCAAGGCCCACCGGCAGCTCCCGCCGCCGCGCACCGCTCTCCCCGCCCCGCTCCCCGAGCCCCTCCGTGCGGCAGCAAGGCCCCGCGGTCGGCTCCGAGCTGCAGGCCGCTTCCCCTCGGCGGGACGCGGCCAGAGAACGGGCGGCGACCAGCTCCCCAGCGCCCCCGGGCCGTACCTCGGCTGAGATCGAGGGGGACGTTCTCCTCGCCGCTGTCGTTGCGACCTGCGGGGACGGGGACAGTAAGCGGAGAGAGCGTTAGGCGGGCGGCGAGAAAAAAGACGAGGGAAGACAGAAGGAAGCGGCGGGGGGGAGGAGGGCGGGTGAGAGGGGCGGCGGGGCGCCGGAAACCGGGCGGCGCGGCCCGGCCGGGCAGCTTACCTCGAATGCGGAGGTGCCTCAGCGAGCGGGCGCGGAGGCTCACCGCCATGTTTACGGCCCCGCAGTCACAACACCGGAAACCTCGCCCGCTCTCGCGAGAAAAACCCCGCGGAGCCGCCACGGCCGCGTACGGCGCCTCCGCCCCGCCCCATGCCGGCCCCCCACTCACCTTCCCGTCGCGCTGCCGGCGGGAGCGGCGCGGGGGCGGCTGAGGGGAGGGAGGTAGCCAGAGAGCCCGCGCCGTCAGCGCCAGCCTCGCGGGGTGGGCCGGGCGCAGGAGACGGGGTTTCTGGGTTGTTTTTTTTTTTGTTTTTTTTTTTTTTAGATTTTCATGCTCGCTTTTTCTTTCCTTAGAACTGCACTTGCCCCGTGTTGCGGTGGTGGCTCGGGGGATTACGAGTGGCAGTGCGCGCAGCGGGTGTGCGCATCAGTGAAGAACAAAAAGGAAAATATCCCTTCCTTGCTCTGTTTCAGTCGCAGTGGGTCCCTGCGGTCTCAAGCGTGGATCTGTTTATTTCCTCGAGATCTGTTAATAAAATCAGTGTGTGTGTGTGTGTGTGTGTGTGTGAAATGCTTTTGCTGAAGGAAGGCCCTACGCAGACCCGACAGATTTGCCTACACACCCGTTTGTCCTTTCTAGGCAGAAGCCCATCCACATGCGCGACTTGCTCCCTGCCCTGGCTCTGGGAAGCTGCAGTCCAGGCACGGCCCTCACCAGGATTCACAAGATGTGAAAGTAGTGACCACACTGACATGCAGGATTGGCCCTACGGGCATAGATTCACCAGCTCCAGCTGCTGTTTCAATGCTTTGGCTTTCCCTCCTTGTCATGGGTCGTCTTTCAGTTCAGATCCTACGTCACCGCCCTAAAAATTGGTGTTCTAAACATTAACAGTGATTTAGGTGGCTAAAAGTAGCTGTCCCTAAAGCCAGAGCAGAGAGGGATTGTGGCATTCCATTCAAGTTTCTAGCGTTGCAGCTCAGGATATACATATGAGAACCTTGTTTTAATAGGATTATGTCAGCTTTATTTAGTCTAAAAAGCCATTTTCAACAATTTCCTATTTCAATTTTTGCTTATTAAACAAGAGACTAATGTCTTGATGGATTCCAGTTCTCAAAATTTAAAGGTAGAAATAATAAAATCTCACTCATGCTTAACACAAGACCAAAATATACAGATTGCTTTAATGGTTTCATCAATATGCCTCAGAGGTTCCCTTTGAAATTTCATGTCCAGGGAGCTCTTGACTTCCTGAAAATGCTAAATTAACCGCTGCTTCTGGTAGTAATACTGCATTCTGTTTACTAGAGGTGATGCTGGGTCTCATTAATTTCACACCAGCTTTTAAGCACCATGGACCGTTGGCTTGGTCTTAAGCTTCTGAGTTGGACTTGAATCTATAGTCATGTGAAGTGCTGGTGACACGCAGCACTTAATTCTTCCCTAGTAGCTACACAGTCAGACAAACACACTGCTTTATGAAAGAGCACTTTCCAGCATGGACAGCAAGACTTGGAGTGATATTTAAAGTCCAGCTGACTCTTCTAACATTTTGTTCCTGCAGAAAGGAGACACTGTTTAATAATCAAAATATTTCTGAACTCCTTGTTTGTTATTTTTTCTCTTCTTTCTTCCCCATGTTTTCTCAATTAAATAGAGTTATGCAGATAAATTACAGGTTGTCTCTGACAGGCAAGATAATGTCCCTAAATCACTTATGAGCGGGAATACACAAGGCTACCTGAGAGATAGATTGGAGTGTAATTAATATTTTCCACAACTGAAAAAATATATGTAAGTATAAATATATATGTGGGTATGTATAAAATGCAAAGTAGCAAGGATGCGCTGGCCTTAACTACCATTTAAAGAGCTCTACACAAGAAGAAAATAAAAAAGCGTGCTGTGGAAGGAAGCGTGCCCTTAAAATGTCATGGTTACAACTGTATGAGGACTCCTCACCCTACCAGAGGGTATTTTGAGATCTTGATCTGGAGATTTTCTTTCTGTTCTTTCTTTTATTAAATGTGGGGAAAGGATCACAAGAAAAAAAAATAATTTAAAATTGTTTTAGATTCCTTGCTAAAGTTTTTGACACATATTTATAAACTACTAAGGAGAGCGAACATTGGGCCAAACAAAACAAAGCAACACAGAACTGTTATTTTGTTGATTTGGTGGGATGGGGGTGGAATACGAAGGTGACAAATGTCTTCAGCTGTCCAGTGACTTCTCTGTGTCACAGATTTATCTACGTAAGGCAGTTTATTTAAATTATTAATTTTGTCTTTAGCTGCCCATAATTAAGCAGAGAAAAAAATGTTTTAATCGCCACGTGGGGAATAAAGCTCCTTTGATTTTACTTTGATTTCCTCCTCTACATGCCAGAGGCTTATGAAGAAACGCCTTTGTTCCATCATTTTCTAATGAGAAGATTGTAATTTTTGTCTCCTCAAATATAAGATTATGGTAGTGACAGTATTTGTACATCCACTAAGGTTCTGCAATATGCTATAGAGAATGTTGCTACCTGAACTATACATCTTCGGGATTTAAAACCTAGTGTGAAGATACAGGAGAAGTTTTTCCATTTGTTTGGAGTCAAAGAAATGCTGGTACAAGGGACAAGCTGAGGGCAGAGCCTTAGGTGGCTGAAATTGCTGAAACACTGTGGAAGTGAGTGGAAATGTGCAGTTTATCCCAGCTGCAGCCTACTTTTCATAGTCATGTATAAGGAAGAAAAAAAAACAGAAAAACATACGTCAAGCCACACAGATAAGATGATAGCTTTCTGAACTCAAGTGAGCTACAACAATTTGGATTTGTTGCACTTTATCTCTCCTAGGTATGTTACTAATAACCCTCCTTAATTTTCAGTATCGTGAAATTAATTTTAGATAGATGTAAAATCCTGAATGACAATGGGCTGAGGAGGAAGAGAAGAAAACATAGTGAATGAGACAAGAAGTTTAAGAAAAATCATTGCTTCTTTTGCTATCTCTATACTGTTAGTAAGGACTTTGCAATTATTCTCTTTGCTCTGACTTTTTCTTCTCATGAAGTCTACCCAAATACTTCAGAAAGGATGAGACCTCAGCTCTATTTCCTACTGTCATGAAAAACTGTTGGTGAAATGGAAAGCATAGGGAAACCACCATCCTTCGAATGAAGTATTTTGAAAGCAGTTTTGTTGTCAAATGGGATAGAAAAAGGTCTAAATCAGCTGTCGTCTTGGAGTGTCTCTGTGCCCTGGATCCTGCCTAACAAGCCTGGATTCTTAGAGGATTTAAGAAAATGTGAATATGGGAAAGTTCTGTTGAAACCCTGGCTGAATTTGGGTACAGGAAGGGGCAGGGGTCTTCAGGACTCTGCAGCTGTCCTGAGCCAAAGGTTTCCGCTTCAGCCAATTAATTATAATTATAACTAACAATAAAACAGTTTGCAGCAGCAATATGATTTGGCTAAAGAAGAATAATTAACGTGTTCTTCTGGAGTCGCTCTGATTTTGATCTAAGTTATTTCATGAACACAGTAACCTTAAATCCAAATAGAAGTTAAAAAAAAAAAGAAAAAAGAAAAAAGAAAAAAAGAAAGATAAAATCTGAATTGATTGCAGCTGGGTAAAATGTTAGCATTTCTTCATTATCCAGTAATGGAAGGAATTAACCTAACATGGAGCACATAGCAGAAGATTATGCAAGAGCACCAATAAGTGGCATAGTAAAGCAACAATAACCAGCTGCAGAGTAACAGCATGTCAATTGATGCAACAGGTCTTCCTGGGCAAGCTGCTAACTGGGTGGTTAATTAGTGCAAACTCTCATTTAAGCACTCATTCATGTCAGATTTTTCACAGCATTCTGTGCTGCATAATGCTGTTGAAGCTGTGAAAAGCAACAGGTGCTCAGTCTGTGTATGGCTAGCATATTAATTAAACCTGAGGAAAAAAAAACACAGCTGTCGAAGGTTTCAGTCCAAATAAATCCCAGTTACAGGGCTGAAGCTATACATATGCATAATTTATCACCACTTGACTCAAAATATCTATAGCAGCAAAGTATTTTTTTTCTTTAAGTTTTCATTATTGTTTTATTTTAAATTGATCCTTGGGCAAAAAGTTCTGTACTATTGTACGGCTTGCTTTCCATTAGGAAATCATAGCATAGAATCATAGAATGACTTTGGTTGGAAGGGGCCATAAAAATCATCAATGTCCAACCCCCCTGCTGGAAACATTTGAATTTATTTTCAATAGGTCAATTTATTAATTTTTATTCAAGCTCTAAGTAATTTGATTTACTTACATGCAGCATCTCAATTACTGAAAAAAGCCTCCTCAAATACTGTTTGATCTAATTTGAAACGCTATGGCAAAAACAGCATAGGTCACAAACACAAGAATCATTGAATTCTTCTCAGCTGTTGGCACAGCAGAGAACCTCTGCTGGTATCAAGCATGGATTTGGGCATCTCGTTCCAAAAATGGGCATTTACACTGAACAACCTCTAAAAATGAGACAAAAATTCAAATGCCAGGGGCAGGAAAGCAGAAATAGGGGACGAGCTCAATTAAATGAAAAGGGAAAAGAACAGGGAAACAGGGAAACGAGGGACACAATGCCATGGTCAGAGGATCGAGGAAAAGAGGAATAACTGTAGGGAATAGAAAGTGATTGTGAAAGTAAGTGGAAGCATGTTGATCATGTCTCACAGAGAGAAAAGGGCAGTGACACCCAGACCCAGCGTGTCTTTGGGTCCTTGGCTTACCTGAGGGAGCTGGATAGCAGGACAGAGAGCTGGGCTGGGGGCATGGCATGCCTCAGGCAGAGCAAGGAGAGATCGGGGCCCAGTGCCCTGTGCTGGCACTCCGTGTGCATTTCCCACCCAAAGCCCACACGTGCCAACAAGGGAGCAGGTGGCTTTTCCTGCTAAGGACTTGGAAATCAGGAATCAGGCCAAAAAGAGAATTACAAGGGAGGGAAAAAAGCTGGTACTTTTTTCTTTTTTTGTTTTCTTCGTCTGTCTCACGATGCTTGAGCTGCAGGATTTGGCAATACTGCTGAAGTAAAACGAATGGTAGTGTTTCCTGAGACCACTGGTATCCACTTAATTCACATTTCATTCATGTACGTGTTGACATTTTGCATACTTTCCTGGTGCCTAACAGTGAAAATACTAAGATTAAGTGATATTTCTAAATGCATTAGCAATGAAAATAGTTTCCTGTGTTCTTTTCAACAACGTCCGTGATATAAAAACCCTCGAGCATGAAACTTCATACATTTAATAACAGCTTAATCCATTCTTTCCAAATGGTTTAAAGGGAGGCAAATGGTGATAATTCAACAAATTCTACACATATTCAGGAGCTGGTAGTCTAAGCACAGAGAATAAAAGCCATGTGAGCTCCTTGCTGTTTTGCTCTACCTGGCAAAGGAGGGGACCTGGGACCATCATGCTGCACAGGTGGAAGTCAGTGATGCTGCGGCCATGCTGAGCAGTGGGGAGAGGATTCCTGCTCATTGTGGTGCTGGGAGGTGCTAGGGATAGACCCTTTGGCTGGACTACCATCTGGTTCCTTGGCAGTAGGGATAGAGGGCTAGGCTGCCATGCTTGTTGAGCGACTGCGGAGAAATAAGTTAATTCTCCCAGAACAAGTCTGAGTATCTCAGCCCAGTGTCTCCCCAGACCACGAACACTTCGGTGTAGTTCTGGCCATAGCTGTAGGGATGACGCAGACCATGACAGCAAACTCGGTGTCCACACCAATTTTGGTGGAAAATGAATAGACATTTCACTATATATCATCTAAGCTATGATTTAAATCAAATTTCAATGGTATCCCCAATCTGCCCTTTTTACGACTGTGTACTTGTATTTAAAATATATATGTCATGGTTCTATGTTTTTTGTTTGTTTGTTTGTTTGTTTTTATTTTGGGTTTCAGTATTCCACATCAAAACATCATGTAGTGTACAGGGCATTAAAGTGTCACTGCCCCAATCCCAGGTACCTATCCCTGTACATTACAGCAGTCACGGGATCTGGCCCTTCCGGGTGGGGGGGGCGCTCTCTTGCTGCCTGGCAGTGGGTGCTGGAGGGTGCTTTCCTGGCCGTTCCAAGCTTTTCAGGTTTGACTCGGCCCTGGGAACTCTCTCTCTCTCTCATCTTGTCTGATTTATTAATCTCAATTTCAATTAAATTGTATATATTGTGTTATCTTGTATTCCAATATTATAGTAAAATAAGTTTTCCTCCATAGATTGTTGCCACTGCTCTTTTCCTCCCTTCCTTCCTTCCCATTTTTGTGGGACTGGGGTGGGGGGGAGGGCAGAGGCCTGTCGCCCCTGTTACGGACATAGATTGATCTGGTCAACTCCGTGACAATATATTATGGATGTTCACACTTTTCAAACATAAAGTGATTTCTCTCTCCTCTTTACTTTTAACCACTGGAAGAAGCAAAAAGCAGAATGTATTGAGACTGCTAATATAAGGAAAAAAAAAAAAACACTAAGAATATCATTAATTTAGCTTTAGTAATTTGCTTTTATGCCTGGAACTAATGGATATGTGCCACAAATTGTCCTTTGTGCCTTCCTTTCATACACTGAAATGAGAACAAAATATTTTTCTGTTTCACAAGATAACTCCATTCCTATTCATGGAAATCTGAGATCTCCTTGTGATGGATGGCATGGGACACAATACTTCTGGTGCAACAGAAGCCAGGGAAGATTTGCAGAGCTGAGTAACTGCCTTTTCTGTTAGGTCTCATCCAGAACTGCACTAAATGAGGCAGGGATCCTGTGGAAAAATCTCCCAAGCCATTCAGCAACTATTGACTGCACACAAGTGGGCAGGACTGAGGACGTGCAAATGCAAACTCATGTTTCCTTGAGTTCGGATGCTTCACTCTGCAGTGAGGCTGTGTGTGGAAGCTTTTTCCTTGTAGAAATATCTGTGGTTGGTGGTCAGATGTCTCCTTTTATGGATTCATCATTCTTCTCAGAAATTGACTTATTTGCCGCAAAATACATACACAGTGATGCACACACACACCTATTTCAGCTGTAGAGCAATGTGGTGTTTCATCCTTAACCTGCTGCATTTAGCCTCCTACACTGCATTTCCTTTCCCTCGCCAAAGCACCAATCTTTGCTGCTAAGGTGGATTATGTAAGAGGATCACACATAGAGGAGGGCTTTGTTACCACCGAGGGAGGAGTAGACAGGGGATCTGCAATTATGAGGATCGAAAATATAAACCTCTTAGGCAGGAATGCACAGGAGATCAGTGGCATTCCTGCAGCCCAGGGAAAAGCCTGCAGTAAAAGCAGGGAAAATGCTCTAAAGCTGCTGAATCAGAGGAAAAAACTCTCCTGCTTTTTGTTTTGCTTAGCTTGTTTACCAGAACACCATGGAGGTCCAACTGGATGGAAAGCAGTGCTATTTAACTCAGCTGGGTTATTCATGCTGAAGCCTATTTTTTTGTCAATATTTTGGTGTTTTCTGTGCTGAATGTTTTAGCAGGCATAGCCAAAAACTCCAGGATTATAAACAGAGTTTGGAGAGGGAAAATTGTCTAGAGAGAGAATAGCTTTCCTTTTGTTTCTTTATGAATTTTAGAAAATATAACAAATTACTGGTGAGAAAGCCTTAAAATATAGCCTTTATTAAACTAACTAAGTAGTAGATTTTCCTGTCTGGAAGTCTTCTGTAAGTAAGTTCTGCTTACATATCACATTCTGAATAGTAGTTGCTGACAAACAAATGCCACATTGTAGCTGTGCTTCCATTGCAGCAGTAGTAAAGATTTTTACTGTCTGCTATTCGGTGATAATTTCCAGAAGTTACTTTTCAGCTACTGATGTTCTGGCTTGGCAGAAGGTGGTGTGCCCACATGTCTTGGGAGAAAGCATGCATTTATTAAGAAGAAAAAACAAAACAAAACAAAACAAAAAAGAAATACACTGAGTCCAGCTAAAGGCACTGGTAAAGTAACAAAATGAAAATATTTATTGTGATTTCAGTGTATGATACCTTATAACTACACTTCAGTACCCCATGCCAATCACACTATATATCAAAGAATGCATAAATTTTTAGTTTAAAGTATCTTACTTCGTACAATGATCCAGTGCCCCATGAGATCAGTACAGAGTCAACAAGGAAACAGTACCTACATCACATCAAAGTTATGAAAATGGTAAAGTTATTCAAATGCATAACCAACAAATCTTAGTAAAATTCACATCTGTGCAGGGGAACAAAAGAGGTTTGTGTATTACTGAGGTTCTTTAATGCAAGATAAAGTATGCACAGAAGGAAAGTTCCTTTGTTGATCCTACTGCAATGCATTGAGATCTACGATGAGTTGAAATCAAAATAAGATTGAGCATATATACTTTGAAATTTAACACAAGCTCTTTATTTCAATTAATTAAGTAAAGCATGAAAGTTTTTATCCTATTTTTAACTGACTAGTGGTCGAGTTATTTCTGAATGTCTAAAGTTTGAAACTGGAATTTGCTCCAGTTTGCTGTCACATTACCTACACAGCGCACGTGCCTTTTAGAAATCCCCATAAAAAATAAATCAAGCACCAACAGCTAAGACACATTCATTTCATTTAATTTAAAAGATCATGTTTTAAATTTGAGTACCGGTGCTGATGTTCACACATAGAATTGGTGCTTGCATGGCTGGATTCTGGTTTTAACAATAAATTTAGATCTGGAAATTCGAGATTGCTGATAGCTTTTCTGCGTACTACCAGTGATTTTAAATGCAGATATTATTCCTACAATTAATGTCATGTTTGCTACCATAGCATTCTGCTTATTTGGAGATATAATATACTTAGAATTATCAGTAAAAGGCACTTGTGTATGATGAAATCTCAGCTCCACTGAAAGTGAGTCCAAAATTCTGACTTCAACAGAGCCAAAATTTCTTTATGTTTAGAAGCTAAACTTACCAGCTTGCTGCATTGACTGTGTTGAAGAAGGTAATTATCATTTCTGCTCTTGAGAATTAGTGGAGACTTGATTATCAAGAAGGACTTTCTGATCTAGCCACAACAGTTCTGACAAATTTTTTATTATCTTGCAAAACAACAGCAAAAGCATCACGCAGTACAAATAGATTCCATTTTCTGTACTCGCTCACCCTCTTTACTGGAGTTCACTGTAAACTTCTTTCGATTTCCAGTGAGTTCTGATACATAAGCAAGTCCACAGTGATTATCATTATTATGGTACACACATCCATTTTGAATTGTTTTGCTATCTCCTCATTCATATGAAAGCTCTGCTAGTTACCATGGCCACTTTAGGAATAAATACCATTTCTACAATGGATCAGCGTGGAAATATCTGATTTATATACCTATGTAAAAAAAAATAATACCTAAAAGATAAAGGTAGAATCAATAAATATACTTTTTAAATGTAGAAATTATTTCCAACCAATTTATAAGTGTGTAGGTCCATTTTAATGCCTAAAATATTATAGTGACAGCAATATATGTTTAAACTACAAAGAAATTAAATCTTGACCTAAGCATTCTGAAGATATTCAAAGAAACGCTACTATAAAGGAGACTGTTTTATGGTTTATATCTCAGTGTGGTATGTAACATAACATAATTAATGTTTTACTATTAATGTTATGGCAGCCAAAAAGTACTTACAAAATAAAGATAATTTTAGAAATTGGTAATCTATCACTAGCACAACACAGAAAAAGAAATTTTAACAACGAAGGTACATGGCTGTACATGTCAGTGTAGCTAACACATTTACAGTTGGAAAAACAGGTGAGCAGTACATAGTCTGATGCCCACTTTTGATTTCCCGTTTTCACAACAGGATGTTATCCCCAAAGGAAGCATCTTTACAGGATGCTGTCATACCCAGAGTGGCAGTCGCTGGAGTTCATTAAAGTGGAGCTAGAGTAAAACTTGTTCACAGGGTTTGTTGTCCTTTGTATCCTTCGTAGACCTGAACTGGCCTCTTTGGGCACAGCTAATTGAAGAATTGTTTTTACATGGATTGTTAACACCACAGAAGGGAAGTGGAAGATGTCAACTTTAGTTTCAGTTCATATGCCCCATATTTGAATTGCTCTCATAAATGGCAGTACAAATATCTCACAAAGTAACTGAGAATAAAAGCCTGAAAAAAAATGCAAACCAAATATTGTACATTTAAAGAGCTTAAGCAATTAAATTGTAATCATCTTTAATGACTTCTCTTGCTTGGCAAGTAGAAGTCCAGCATAGATTTTGGTCTTCAATGAAGCTCTTACTCTCACAGAATTCTGCGTTAGTCATTATCATAGATGCAATCTGCAATGGAAATAGAATGCACGAAGATTGGCATTTAGCACTTTGACTGAAGGATAAAATTAATTGTAATTTAATATATTATTGTAATGATTGAAATGTTCAACATACCTTCGCCAATGTCATCATAAATTTCTCCATCACTGAAAGTTAGAAAAAGAGAAGAATAATGTATTTCAAATGGAAATATAGATATTACTCTCTGACTACAGGTATGAAATGCTGTAGCACTGTGGTTCAGATGCACTGTACATACGTACATACAGTTCATTTGCTGCTTAGGAAAGTGCTGCCTTTATTGTAAAAAAACAGCACTGAGCAAGAAGGTAAAGACAGAAGAGCTTCAGCAGAGGGCAAAGCTGTATTTCTTTCTAAAGTAAAATGCATGCATCGTTAAAAGATTTTTTAAACTAGGTTTTAAAATAGCTATTCCAACAAATGCATACTAACATTTCCATTAAGAATGAAAGACTAAATGAGGTGTTTTTTTAAATCAAAATTGGGAAAGATAATTAAAAAAAAATCATTATAGACCTGAAATGCTTATTTGTTTCTGTTCACATTTGGATATGTTGTAATGATCTTGGAAGACCAGATTTTTGGATAAGGAATTTGCATAAGTTCTATATATGATAATTGTTCTCTGAGAAGGAATTTTCAAAATATGTCACTCAGACACTTGAACAGTTGCCTGGAAGCCAATAAGGCTATTTATATATGTAAGCTAAGCCCATGTATAAGTGTTTGCAGGCCTGACTTCTAAAATTGACATCTGATTTAATATTTAGAGATCTAACACAAAGCACATTGAAGGAAATGGAGAGGCTCTGTCTGACAAAGATTTTGGATTAGAACCACAAAATTATTCTCAGAAACACGGAGCCAAATCTGCTCAATCCCAATAAGACTGAAATAAAAATAAGCCTTATGAATAATTGGTCCTCTTTAGTTAAACATTTGGAATTGGCATCAGCATATTTAATCACATAAATGTTGGTTTTAATAATAGATTATAGTCCTGATAATACTTTATTTATGCTGTTCTTCGTGGTTCAAGCCAGAATCTGTGGGTAAGCAACGAAGAATGAGGTCTTGGATAATTTCCAGCTTAGATGTATGTGATTAGTTCTTGAGAAATCAAAACTCCATAGAAGTATCTCGATTTATAGCACTGGGATGACATATTGAAATAATCAGATTTCACATTTATTTAACAAACAGTTCCGAACAAAGAACAGCATTAAAATAAATGCTTCAAAAAGATGATTCTGTACTTACTTCTCAACTAAATTGCTTCTCAGAACATAGCCATCTATAAAATTGAAATACACACGTATTTAAGTTAAATTTAGTCATGATATTTGATCTCTTTCTATCACTTGTGAAATGCCATTTTCTCCTAATCATTTCAGACAGGAAGACTTACGGTGTATAACAGTGTACAGTACTCATCTTAGTTTTAATTGCTTAATTACTCTTATCTACTTGTTTTCTGTAACATGGATCTCCTATAGGGACAAAAATGTCCTTTAAGATATATGCACCAGATAATAATTATTAACTGTGGCTGTTAAAAATGTTTTAACTGTATCAAATTGATAAAAAGTTTTTGTGTAAAAATCTGAAAATACCTTACAAAAGCTATTCAGTAGTAATTTAATTTATTATTGCGTTACACTGAAATCTGATAAAACTGCACAAATTCTTCTTTCATGAATTTAACCTCTTGGAAAAATGTTATTCACCATCTTTGGTAAAAGACATCAACTGAAATACTTGTCAATTGCTATAACATGTAAAAGCAAAGAGAAAGCTGTAACTTTAATTATGTATTTATAGGTAAGTATTAGTATGTTTGTAAAAAATTAGAATAGTTTCAAAGGAAAAAAATATTTTGTTTCATTTGAAATCATGGTAAAAGTTCACCCATTTTATTCCTTAGGATGCTTAAGTAGTCACACTAAAATTGTGCTTTTTTAGTAATCCATACAGTACCATATTAACTGGTTTTAGAATAAATGTATTAGCTTTAGTTCCTTTGCATTCTTGCTGCTGCATCATCGCATGGTACGAAAGTATCAGTTTTCTGCTGCTACATCTGGTAGTGATCCTGCAAGTCAGTCTATATGAATCTTCAGATCTTACTGTCTTACTTAAAGAGATGATTTCCTCCTTCACATGAAATTCTTTGATACATAAAAGTATCTTTCTTTTTTATTCCAAGAGCATACAGGAATGTCCAGATAAAGAATCATTACCTACTTTTTTTCTAAGCGAAATTTCCCTCTACAAAATCCCTGTTACAAGATCGGCTACTTTTCTGGCAGGACTACTATCCCAAATAGAACTGCAAATAATAATTAATTCTTATACACAACTTTTCTCCATAGAGAAACACTTATGTAACTCAACTTTGTGTGTTTCAACATGAAAATAGTTAGATATTGCTATAAATTTCAAATATGTAATGTTTTTCCCCCAGAATATGCTATTTAATTACCAATCTTATACAAAATAGTACAAGTAAGCAGTTTCTTCTGTGATAGCCTTAATACTGTACAAACACTGAATTGTTCAGAAAAAAACTTCTGTCTTGTGCTAAAGCTGAAGTTTTCCTGAAAAGCATTATTTTCACATAGTAATATTTCATTTGACACTAATCTGCTTTAGCTTCCATTTACTACTTAGCAGTTGTGGGGTACATATAGAGTGAAAAATAACCTTAATAGACCTCTACATAAGCCTCTGTGTTAACTAAAGCCTCTATGAGTTCAAAAACACTTTAAAATTAATCACTGATCCACAGTGCATGTTCTCTACTATTAAGAAAGTTATGAGTTTCCTTATTTTGAATGGTTCTGAAACTTATAATCATTTCAGATATCCTTTGAGCAAATGATACAAATTTTTCTTGCTAAGAACACCAAAAAACAGTTATATGAAATTAGACTACAACTGTGTAAGAAGAAATAGTTGCTTAACCTTCCTGTACTTATATCTTCACTGTAGTGAAGATGTGATATTTACATAAGTTCTGCTAAAACTTTTGCCCATTAAAAATGTTAAACTGCATGTAATCTGATGTATTTCAAAGAACCTAGTGCTGTGTAGCTTCAGTCCCCTGTGTATTTTTCAACTGTACAGGCACGGAGCTGTGGAGGGGCTCAGTATGTTAAAGACCAAGCAGAAGAAGTAACAAAACCAAATGTTAATTTTCAGTCAGTGTGGGCTTCAAAAGGTAAAACTCTACTCTTAATATATGAGGATACTCCAACTAGAGCAAATAACCACAACTCCATAAAGTGGGACTCACATTTTACTAATTAATGTGAAAATTGACAGAAATCTTCACAGAAGCTTTCACAGAGGATATTTTTGTTTGTTTTGCTCCTTTATGCATAGCAAAGCAGTATCTACTATCACTTTCTGAAAAGCTTTGAAGATTACACGAGGAAAACAGACAGCATGAACTAATTTCCACTTTGCTATTATCTTGCTTCAAAAAATGTGGCATTGACAGCCCCACATTGGGAAGTAGCTGCACTAAAGCAATCCATATTTTGAAAAACATATGTGTTGTTATGCAAGAAATTCTTCCTATTGGCCTGCCAGGAAGAAGGCTATACTCCAGATTGTAACAGAGGAGTACTGAGGGGAAAGAAATAGAAAGTGACCGAATCTTCTTCAGAAACATAAGGCATTGGACTGTCATCTACATAGGTTAATGGTAAAAGGTAAAGGTAAGAGGAAGGATACTGCCACTTTGAACATAGTGTATTCTGTGAAATTATTATGAGGAGAATTGAAAAGCATTGTAACATAAGTGTATGAAGAAATTGAAACCAAGAGTAGATGGTCCAGATTTCTCCAAAAAAATGCAAAAGCTTCTGCCAATGCATACTCTCTCCAAGGGTTTCAGAGAAACACTGAAAGGCCTTGTGCAGTTCCCAAAACAGGCAGGGATGCCAACAAGGACATATGCCTTGGATCAGTTGGGGCCCGGCAGGGGAAGACTCCTCAGCAGTTTTTCCTCCCTGCCTGCTGAAGAGATTAAATTCCAGCTCCGAGAATCCAGAGCAAGAATACCATCATTAATCTTCCCTTGGCTGAAATCAATGGACAACAGTTCCAAGGATTTTACTATTTTACCTGGTTTAGGGGGTATCAGTGCAGTAATCTTTTTAGAAAATGGAGGGAGATGGAAGTAGTAAAAACATCTGCTTGTCTTAGCTGATGCAAAGTGTTCTCTCTCACAATTTTATCTCTTGACTATTGAAGTTCTGTTTTCTAAGGTCAGATACACTTAACACTCTCGAGGACCGACTGTAAGTAGTAAAAATAATGAGATAACCACAGTATACTTCTTGTCAACCACCAGACAAAAACAAACATGCTCTGCTCTAGTATGACAGGAAATATGTATTTTTTTCATGTCCTGTCTGAAGTTACATATTCTCAGACCGTTTAATTTATAGCACATGCATTCTGTACTACAGCTGGTAATTAAAACTTACATTTTCCTTCTTCATTCCTGCACAGCACCTTGGTGTCATCTGTACTCTGTATAACTTCAAGAAGCTCTCCTGGTTTAATCTGCAAGTCTTTAGATCCCCACTTTTTCTGGGGCAAATCCTGGACAGTGGTCGTTGAGTAAAGAACTTTGATTTCACCTTCAAACTGTAAAAATGAAATAAAAAGATGCCAGATAAAGAGCATTAATGTAGAATTTATGATCATGCATTTTTATAGCAACAAATTCTCATTTATTACTAGATTTTTTGAAAGTCAGGCAAATAAATGTCTATGCACTTGAAAATGTTTAAATACTGTTTTTACAAATAGTAGTACTTTACTTGTTAAGAGCAAACTAACTGATTGTTTACAAAGTAGAGGATATACATTAGAGAATACTATATTAATTATATTTTAGGTGAAGGAAACTTACCTTGAACTTTTTTCTGAACTCTTTCTCTTCTCTTTCCATCATTTTAAGCTTTTGTGGATACTTTTCATCTGATTTGCCTTTTCCAAGACTCATAGATTTTGGTAAACTAAAACAAGAGGTTATAAATGAAATAAAATTAGTAACATTTCTGAGGTACTGACAACCTCTGTGGCAATTCCAATGAAAATGCACTTCCTTCTGCATGTCCTTAGTATGTTTCTCTTACTCTAGAAAAATAATGTGGATAGTACAATGCAGATTTTATTACTGAAGAAATAAAGAGTTGAGATTATCTTGCCAGCTTTTTTTTTGTACGAGTTCTGATGTTAATATATCTATTACAGCAGTGAACGTGGAGAATATTTCAAAGCTCCTAGCTACCGCATATGTGAGAACTTTTCATTACCAAAATAGTTTACGTAAGCAATACTCATCACCCTAGAATGTTTAAGCAAGGGACAATTTTTGTGAAGTCTAGGTATATTAGGGCAGTAGAATAACTATCACAAGGCCCATTGCAGAGGTCGCTAGGGCATCTTAGTCCTTCATAAATAAATTAATCCCTTGCATCCATCATGAGAATTTGCTGCTCAATGGAATCTGCATTACATTTCAAGTTCTTTTTTTTTTTTTTCCCCGCAGTCCTGATATGTTGATTTGCACCACTGATCACTGAAAAGTCTCGCTTCCTAATTACCTTTCCTGGTGCTATACCTGGGAATTTAAAGTCAGAGCTCTGAATCGCTCTGAATCTGTTTCACTGATAGTGAATGTATATGTTTAAAGTAATTGAGATCTAAGGTGGACCATGTCCTGTTTTTATACTCCAGATTAGATTACCGTAATGCAATCTGTGTGTAATTCCATCTTAGAGAAATCAGTGATAGCAGAATGTGACAAGTTGCAGTCAGCTCTACAAATGCTTATAACACATCTGTGCTCCAGAGTCTCCAGAGATGGCTGTGAATTCCCAGTACAGGGATAAAAGTTTTCCAAGTTGAACTTCACACTTCCAGATGTGTTTCATGCTGATAACATTGAGCACTATCTCCTTTTCTCAAAAAATATTGTAGCAGCCGAGATCAAGTACGGTAGTTATCTTAAAAGTCTCCAGATTTTAATAGGAAGAGGTCTGCACGCAGATAATCTACAATTAAGGATCTTTAGGTCAGACATTCACTTCTACTTCTTGTTCGTCAGAGGCTGCATTTGTTGAAGTTCAAAGCATTGCTATTTACAATAATAATATATATAATAAATTACTATTTATTCTGTACTCTAATGCAATTATTGTTTCAACATGTAATGTAGGTTGTTGCCAACAGCAGGGTTATAACAACCACTGGACCTGATACCACCACATACAGCATATAGTCCACCTATACTGAATACTTTGAAAATATATCAGAGCATCCTAAAGATTTTTAATCAGAATAGTAATTTTCACTTGCTTGAATTCAGGCGGCGGAGGAGGGAAGTCTGAGGAATCTACATCATCATAAACATCACTGTCTCCACAATCTGAAACAGTAATAGACAGATTCAAAACTATTACGCGATCCATGAGTAGTTGTATTACAGTTCATAACAGTATAGGTAAGTTGACAAGAAGCTGCAGCAAGTCTTGCAGTTGCTCTTGTCTGTGGGCCCTCTGTTTTGCACAATCTGCTGAGTAAAACATATGTAAGCAACCCTTTTCAGAATAAGACTCTTTATTAATAATAATAGGTATTCACTGATATTTTAATCTTCTTAAGCTGGAACAAGTTTTAGCACATGTTGGCTAATGCAATAGCCTTTAATCTTCCTTTTAATTAGTCTCTTTCCCACTGTGTTGCATCAAAGTCTATTTTTAGGATTTTATTTTAATATACACTCAAGTGCTTCTATTGTACTTTGGTCAGTGTAGCATTGCCTAAAAGTGGGCACGATTCACTCATGCACTAATTTTTTGGTCACCTTATAGTGTCAAATTAGTAGAAAAGATTTTTACCACAAAAATGTACTTTGAATCACATCCAGAGCATTTGTGGAAAGGAGGCAATTATTCAACTTATCAAACCCATGGCTTAAAAAAGTCATGGTGGGAGATAAAAGGTTTAGAATTCAGTTCAGGCAGCAGTCTGCAAACTTGTGAGAGTTTGCTCTTTATTTCATGGCTGAGCTGGTATTTATGTTTTCTTACAACAACACTGAAAGTGATAAAAATAACAGCAAGCATCTATGCTTTTGAACTCTCTCATTAAGAGTTACTTTTCAAGTGTATCTGTTCACACTTAATGTTAAATGAAAATAATAATTGGAATTCTCCAAGAGAAGCATCCTTTAAAAATACATTAAATTGTTCTCTAGGAAGCTTGTACTGTATCAGTACTTCCTCATCAGTGGATCAGACACATTTGAAATTCATTTGCTAGAACTGGGTAAGTAATGGGAAATCCTGTTTCCTTCCTTGGATATGTTTTTGTGACTAGGACAATACAGAGTAATATATATGCATGAAAAAAAAAATCAGTAATCAATATGGGGACAAAACAATACACTATTAATTACCTTTTCCAAACTGCTTTGTTGAAGGAGACCTGCTGGAAAAAAAAGAAAAAAAAAATAAGAAAAAATATGGCCATTATATATTTATATCACATTTCACATTATTTACAACACTTACAACAGAAGGGCTCCAAGTAATGTCCAGGCATTTTTAAAACCTGCTGACACTATCAATTGTCAAGGACCAAATGTTTTTTACTACTGAAAACTAGCTTAGAAGTGAATGAGAAAAGATTATAGTAAAAACATTAATTGCTGACCTAACCACTAAGCAAGCTGGGAAGAAGATAATTTTTGCATTTTTCTCCATGATGCATTATTCCTAAAATCTGGATTGGCAGAACTAGATTTACCTGTTCATGTCAGCTGTATTGCACTGGTGAACAACATATATTTAAATAGAGAAGAGAAGAATCTCGTATCACCAGAGTGGAAGAGATGATGCATTATTTGAGCTTTTTTTTTAAAGTATGTATTTTTTGTTACATTTTAGTTATTAGGCTCATGCAGCAAATATCGCGTGTAAGCATACTAATGACATTGTGAAGACAAGAAGAAAAGAGATCAATGTTTTTTGCAGAAAAATATTGTTCTGATTTGCAGTTTGGTGCATGATTCATTAGGCTGCAATGAGAACATGTTAGTAGCATGTGATCAATGCTTTATTAGCATTAGTTAATATACACTGTGATTTCCTAGCAGACTCTTACAACAAATCTCCATTATCTTCTGCCCCATTGACTTTGGCTGTTTTTTCTCGTACACTTTTCTTTTTGACATCTTTGACCTTTAGTTTCTTCAAGATTCCCCAGGACCAGATATCATTCTTATCTTCATCCTGTGATACGGACCTTTGGAGTATGCATGCGATTATCACAATGTAAAATGTAACATTCCTTTCAAAATCTTCAGTTGTAGTTTTTCATTGACGTACACAGTTCTCATTAATGTCAACACTGTATATACCAAAAAATGAGGATGCTTAACTATCTAAAATGCTGAAGTATGTATTTTAGGTCTTCCATAGAGACACATTTATAGTTGTAGATATTCATTGACCTGATTTTTGACTTGGTGCTATTATGCAGCAAGCTAAATCTTTTTTATGTTGTTTTCATTTCAGAGTTATTTGGTCTACCTGGTGATTTTCAAGATTGCAGCTTCTTTTGCTGGTATACTAAAATTAGTTAGAAAATGAAACTTCTCCTAAAGACCAAAGAACTTTTTATTTTTCAGATTCCTGTATCACCTGATGTATAGTCACTTACTGGAAAGCCCAACTGTTGCTAATTACTGTGTCAAATTTTAAGAAAATAAAAACCAAAATTTAAACACAACTATTTAAATGATATGAAAACATACCTAGAAACAGCATCTGTGTCATCAACGCCATCGTAAATTTCTTGATCGGAAGGAGGAGGTGGGAACATCTCTTTAAGAGATCAGAAAGTTAATGTATTTATATTTAAGGCTTCTGAGCATGGTACTAATTACTGGCCTCAGTGTGTCAGATTTCTGTGCAAAGTGTGCAATATCCTTATAAACTGAGTTTTTCTGTAAACCTGCAGAGCCTAATTATTAAAACAGCAGTTGAGACGTATCCCAGTCAGGCACATCATCCACAGCACTTAAACATGATGACGTTGCCATTAACAAGAGCATGAATAGAGAAAACAAATGGATTTACACTGTATTTGATGAAATTCTCAGCAGCTGGTTTTGTCCCATTTGTGTGATGACTTTTTCATGTGTTTCTGTTTGTGATGATTGAGGATGTCAGACCAGCACTTCAAGCAGGTGACATCTTGTGTTCATCCACGGGACTTACAGGCAAGTGCAATGCAAGCTCCCCATTTTGGCCACAGCTCTGACCTCTCAGCCCCACCTTCCTCAATGCAGGGCTAGCTCAGTTTCCATACCCATTTCCAGCTGCTGGTCAGACCTCTTAGTGAAATCTGTACTTATCTGGCAGCAGCTTCATTCAGGACTGCCAGGGGATGCTTCTCCCATGACTAGTATCTAAACTCTAAGCTGAGAAGATGAGCTGTGCTCTTGTGATCAACAGAGAATGCTACATAAATATATGTGTTACCAAAGAGGAAAATGATTTGAATGTGTGTTTTTGACAGTGTGGAACTACTGCAGATTTAAGAGTTAGGACTCAAGAGTATTGCCAGAATTGACATACTCCTTGAATTCGCCATCAAAATTCACTTTAATTGGTAATATCACTGGCTGTTTCAGAAATGGATTTATCTGGCACAAAATCTTAAGCTCACATTAATTTGTTCTATATAATAATGTTTTCTAGTTATATCTTTCCTGTTTTGCAAGGTCATTTATCTTTTCATAAGAATATCTTAATTGTTGGTAATCTAGCATGCTTCCAATTCAAGCATGTGAAGACAAATTCATTTTCATCCAAGTTAACACAGGTGTAAGAAAGTGAATTTGGCCACTACTGTTCCTTGTTTGTTGTTAGCTACTGCATGGCATGATGGTGGGTAACTACTGCATTATTTGGAAGCTGCAGAGGCCTGGATCTGAAGGTAAGCAGTATACAGAAGCAACTTCCCCTAAAAGCGCACAAAGAAACTTACTTCCAGCTCCATTTCGACCACCATTCTGACTGGAAAAACAAAAACAACAGATGTTTTAGAGAAAATACTAGTTATTTGAACAAACAAGCAAACGAACAAACAATATAACACATCATGATTACCTCCTGCTTTAATTGTTCTTAGTTCTAAACCTCTTGGCTTTGGTACTCGTTTGTACTACTGGCTGTGCACTACAAATTCTGTGCTGAAAGCTCAGGCACAGGCTTGTATGTACTGTGGGGGCTGCAACTGAACGTGCCACTTCTGTTTTTCTGTCTGCAGAAAGTGCACTGACTTCTTACAGTCAAAAAGAAGGTGCACTCTCAGTAATGCTAAAGAAAGTATGTCATCTAATTAATAAGTGAATTAGCTCTTAGATGAGGGGAGATTAACTTTTTGCAGAGTTAGGTTAAAGAATTTAGGAAAATTTGCTCTGTTTTTGTCTTTGGGAATAGTTCATTACAAAATAGATGGAAAAGTGTTTTCAAATATCATTCACAATAATTCACAGTGGAATACGTCAGAGTTATCAATGGCCTCTTCAGTTAATATAAAAAGGAAAGGGACATTTGCAGAGATCAAAGCAAATTTAAAGTTACAGATAGGTGCACATTTTCATATCTGCAGCATACTTAAATCTAATTGTTACTAATTGATACTATTGGAAATTTATGGCATTTTCACTTAATTTCAAGGAGATGCAAACCATTGTCTAGAGCTGTTAACTAAATATGTATTCAGAAAGGTTTTTTTATTGCTGTTGATGTCATTAAACTGAAGAACAAAATATGGTTTATTATTACAGGATAATTTGAGTTGGAATAGATCTTAGGATGTCGTGTAGCTCAATTGGATGGAAATTATAACCTGACTGAACATACCAGAGTGCATCCACACCCTTTAGATTCACACCTTATGAGGCAATTTTCATGGGATTAAATAGTAAGCCAACAAACTTATTGCTCAACTTCTTTTAATAGGTGATGCTTTAAACCTCTGACTGCATGTTTCTAGAATTTCAAGGATTCTGTATTAGCGTGATGTTCTAACTGTAACTGAAAAGAACCTGATGGGCTCAAAGTTGCTCAGATTACTTCCAAGTCAAAGTCTTATTTAAACTTATACATCAAAGTGAGATTTTTCTTAAACTCTTGTGTCAGGATCTACCGAGATACAGTAGCCCTAGTCATTTACTAATTTTGGAATATTAATAATGCTCCTGATAATGAGATAATTCTATTTGGTAAAGAGGCTTTTTTTAGTGTGGCATTCTTACAGTGGTTTAAAAACATGTTGATGCACTTGAGACATTCCAACAATTCATGCTCATGAACTGAACAGAATGCTATTAATCACTAGAGAAGATAAAAATGTCAAAATAAACTTAAAGGATTTAATGAAGATGAGCCATTCATAAGCCATGCAGGTTCATTTATCTATTATTTCAATATGCAACAATGTAAGTATTCTTGTCTGCTTTTGAAATTGAGAAATTTGAGGAATTTGAAGAAGGACTGAGGTAGCTGATTGTAAGACTTGACATAGTGGAATGGGTTGGCCGGAGAAACTTCTGTGATGGAAGTACCTAAAACTTTGAGTATCTAAGCCCCAGAATAACTCAAATAACTCTTCTGACTACCATTACTATGATATGAGACCAATGCACATTGAGGGAAATTGATACTGAGCAACCTGCAAAAATATCAGATGCAAAGCCATATTAGTTACCTAAGGAATGCCAACCCAAAGGCAGATCTTCAAAGTGCTGCTTTTGGAGCTCATGAGGCAGTTCTAGCAGCTGAGGATCATCTGTGACCCAGCCAGACAGCTGTGGTCATTTTAATCCAGCCAAGTCTCTAACCTAAGGTGCTGGAAGCACTAAAACCAGATATAACAACTGAGTGTTACATGACAGTAGTCCTACATACTGAAATCCTCCATGCTTATACACAGACCTCTTATCTGAATTCCAGTGTATGTGATTCTGCACAGGATGGAGAATGAGCACTGGTTTGTTACTTCATGCCACAGACACAGACTCTCATATTAAAGCCAGGTAACAGAGTTACTACATTCATTCTGGGCTATGTGATAGCTCCAGCTCCTGTCACAAGATCGTAAATATACTACCTTGCCAGTAAATTTGGCATCATCTGGAGATGGCCATTTCCTAGATGCAGATATCTTTGACATTAAAAGCACGGCACACTGAAGTAGAGAGGCTGTGATGGAGCGCTGCATTTGCAAATGCATGGGGACTGTTTAACTGTAGAACTTGATCTAGGGGAAGATGACCTTGCTCATGACAGAGGAGTTGGAACTAGATTATCATTCAAGGTTCTGTTTTGCAATTCTATTTTTTTAACAGAAAGTTAAAAAAAAAATGTAGCTCATACCCATATCAGGGAAAAAAAAAAAAAAAAAAAAAAGAAGAGAGGTAGTAAGGCTTATCATTTGAGAACAATGACAGTGATAAAAAGTCCTCCAACATAGTGACTGCTTCTGGAGTCTTTCATTCTTACATGTTAGAAAAGGTAGTATATGACTTCAGGAAACAGAGCAAGGAATGAGAAGAAGGGGAGAAAATAGCAAATCCTGCAGGTTTTATGTTTTGTTTCTTTCGAGTTGTGATGGTACACTATGGACAGCAAGGATTACTCCTGAGGATGAGTGCTTATAGATAGTGAACCACTGAGTCCATTCTTATTCTTTTGACTACTAAATGAATAGTTTGGTCACATGTTTTTGATATAAATAATTGTTTTTTTTTCATGAAAACAGTCTACTTGGTAGTAGTAAAACTTCTCCTGTTTAGTCTGGCTGAGATGATTCCTTTTAATGTGTTCCTTATACATACCTGCTAATACTGTCCTGCTCTCCAACATCATCATATACTTCTTGGTCAATCTCTGGTTGTTTCACAACAGCTTGTTGCTTTGTTTTTAAAGAATCATAATCAATTTCCACTACAGTTGTTTTAATGTATCCATCTAAATAAATGAAACCATGTTAATTACAGAGTTTTAAAGCCTGCAGTAAAAAGAGCATTTTAACAGAAGATACAGAATCACTGATTATGTTATATTGGATCACCTTTGAAAACATTCAGAGAAATGTGTCATTCTATCTGCCTACATATGTACAAATCTCTTCAGCTTGTGTCAAGTTAACTTCATCTTTGCCTCTTGGCTACAGCCTAAGAATTTCTTTAGCAGGCTCCAAAAAGAGAGCTGGTACATCCTCCCTATCAGTTGACCCTGGGTCCACTGCAATCTTTTAGCATGTTTAAGGACAGTCCATGACAAAGGTTCCAACATGATATAAGGAAGGAGAGACACTTTGTCCAGTTGTACATACTCAAACTCATAATGAAATTGTCATTTCAGTCTCCTCAAAATTTAAAGCAGTGCTTTTAATAACTTTCACTGATTTTAATGACTTCCACTTGTGGATCATCTTTTAATATCTTTGCTACACCTCAGGAGCCAGACAATCAGTCCTTCATCATAGTCATGGGTCCACTGAATTTATTAATACAAGCAGAAAAATGTTTTATATTTCAGACAAAAAAAAAAAAAAAGAGAAATCAGTGGAAAAAAAACCACTTAAAATAAGATCTTCTATTCTCTGCTTCTCATTTAGGTACATCCATTTTATTTCTCTTTGAACAATTTGAAAAAGCCAACATCATTACTTGCATGGAGCCAAATTCTGATGTTATTTTGAAAGATGATATTGAATTACCTCTCAACAGGTCCTTGAAGATCCAAGTGTATGCCTAGAATAGTTCCTAACTTCTTGTAGTGCCTGCTGATGCTACATTATGTTGTACAGTAACTTGCTGCTATGTACTGAGACCTGCATGCCAGGTAAGGGCAGCAGGGCTCATGGTAGTAATTACTGCTTTGATGATCAGTGGCTCAGTCTTGTTAAGGTGACTCTTTTGGTGAAATGCTGCATGCACACACATGTTCCCTGTCCTGTTCAGGAGCACAGTGAAGAAGCAGAACTTACAACATCCTTTTATCCTGCCCAGCCACTTTCCTTCTGGGTTGTCTGTTAGACGAATGATTTCAATTTGATCCCCCTGCTTGACAGTCAGTTCATTCTTTCCTCCCTTGCTGTCAACACAAGCCCGTGCCTGATGAAGGACTTGGATGGGTCCTGTTAACTGCAGAGAAAGAAAGCAACAAAAGAAGTCACAGATGTAGAAAAATGCAGTTCTTTCCCGAACATTCACACAAAAGATAAAATAACTATCATGATGATTATTTGTTTCACTGGCATTTAAAATACTGTAGGCAAATACAAAGACATCACCCCTACTTCCAACTTATGAACTACAGTTAAAACTGGGTGTTAAAAGAGAAGGCAACCAGATAGTAAAAAACAGCTGAGTGAGTGGCAGAAGCACAGTAACAGAGGACTAAAATCAACCTGTGGAACTGTTTCTCACAGAACAGATTTGTATTTGATTCTACTGGGCAGCTCCATGTAGTTACAGCAGAATTAATGATACGAAGAAACCTCCAGTAAGATTAAGAAAGTCTTCCACATAAGTTATGTGCAGAAAATTATGCTTTATAAGTGATCCTACAAGCACCTTAAAGTGTTGATCACTCAGTTTGGTAGAATTCAGGAGTCTCTTTATGTATGCTGAGAGGAAACTTGTTTGGATTTTAACTTCTGTGGCTTTACCGTGTCAGTAGTGTTGCAGTAGGCTGGTAACAACTGTAGGCTATCTTAGGAAAATCTATTCCTATATGAAGTAGATATGTGGCTAACCCCTGACAAACATCAGCTAAACCACTATTAACTATTAATATTTTCCTTTAATATTTTCCTTTAATATTTGCTCTTTGACTCATATCAGTCTTTTGTCACCAGTACAAGGCCATGATGAGGGAGAATCACTATGGCTTCACTGTGTACAGTGCATAATAGAAAGGGAGAAAAATAAATCCACCTACTATGTACAATGAAACCAAAAGCAACAGAGTAGGAACATCACAAATAAACATCAATTAAAAGAAAATGATTGGCAATTTTGTAAACTGTGGGAGCGTGCTGACCACCGGCTCCATAAAAGTGACAGAAGGCAGAAAGAACTACCTCATAACTCAGATCCTAGGCTCTGACAGTAACCATAGCTCCCATACAAATGTACCATACTCCCTTTCTGAGGCTGGAAGTCCCTTTGAGATGGGGACCAAGACAAGGGCAATGTGATGCTATTTAGTGCTGAAATCTCTTAGAGGCTCAATATGGTTGTGTCTAGCTTGAGTTAAGCAAACAGTATGAAGTATATGGTCCCCAGTTTCACTTTTATAAAGGACTTTTGGTGCTATTCAGTGAAGGAAAATTATTTTAAACTAAGAAGTAAAGAGAGATGCTTTTAAGGCTTTTTTTCTTTTCATAAGTAGAACATAAGGGAATTTAATGAAAACAGCATAAACACTGAAAAAACATCTTTGCCTTCAGTACAGAGTCTGAAATCAGGCGTATGCCAAACATGAAAGGGTAGATGAAAACTGTACTCAGGATTTATCCAGGTGCTTGACCTACCTAGCACAACTAATACACATCTCAGCTGTCTGCAAACTATTTTGAACTCAGCAATGCTAATTAATGAATCTTAGATGTCTTTGCCCAGTTTACAAAACAAAGTGCTTACTTTGAACTTCTTCCTTATTTCCTGCTCTTTCTTTTCTTTTTCCTTTTGTTCTTTCTTTTCTTGATCCAGTCTTTTCTTTTCTTCCTTTTCCGACTTCTTCTCTTTTTCCTTTGATGTTCTAGAATTAAGAGCAATGCAAATCTCAATAGAGGTTTCTTACCCAATGTCAAAAAACAGCTACATGTGACAGAAGACGACTACTCCCAGTGAAACCAAAGATGCAAATTCTAAACCCAAATGCGGTTGCAAAAAATTGAAGAAGCAGCCCTCTCTCTTATACCACATACATAATTTAAAGTAGCTGTTTTTCAAGAGGACAGTGTAGCAGAAACGAAGGCCAGCTCTGCAGGTGCATGTCCAAACATCTCTGAACTGATTTTGGTAAGGAGGCTTGGAAACTGGCAGCAACATAGATGCCAAATACATATCCAGGCTATCAGTGGTTCACAAAACCCAAACTGAAGCCTGAACTAAAATGCAGTGCACTGTAAGTGTGCCTAATACACCAGGGTTCATTGCCTGTGATGCCTTGCATGCTGGATGGTACTAAGAGGTGGGGATGTAAGAAGGACTATAGTTAAAGCTTTGCAGGTTGCTGCCAGAAGATTGGCTGGAAGAGCTATGCTCTGCAGACCCTACGGAACCAATTGAGTGAGGCTCCCTCTTGCTTTATCAATACTTTTGCTGAATTGATGTGTTCAAATTAAAAAATAAAATTAAAAAAAAAAAAAGAAGATCTATAAATAAAAATACTAAGTGAATGAGGAGTACTTCTTTTGGTTATATTGCTTCAAAACTAACTATCTTCAAAGGGAACCCAACAAGAAATTACTGCTGAAAGTCATTATACTTCTGAAACGATATTTTGGTGTAGGAACTTTAGAATCTTGTTTATTCTGAAGGAATTAGAATGTTTCTTTACATTCTGGCATATAATGAATCCCATATATTTAGCCATTAGTGCAATGAGACACTCCTCAGAATGAAGGGCTAAAGGGTGAGCAGAGCTCTGATTTCAGCTCTACAGAAATGCCAGGAGTCTTGGGCCATGAGAGTTGTAAATCCAGCCAAATGAAAGAAATTCATTTATGTACATTTATATACAAAGCAAGAGCAGCTAAAACAAAAGGATCTCCCTGGTACAATAATATTGAGGGGCCTGACCTTACTTTTGCTCCTAAGCTGTAATTTGAAATAGTGATTCGTACACGTTCATTAGATCAGAAATCAGACTTTCCTGTTACCTAGCTCACAGTAATCACATTTTTTTATTACAGAATTTTTTTTCACCCCAGGGCATATAAGATATAAGTTGGAAAAAAACTGTGAACAATCTGACTTTCTCTAAGTGAAATGAATGAATCCAATAATGCTTGGCAGCTATTGCACTGGAATCACACTATTGTGCCAGATGAAGCACCCTTTGTAGGAAGCTTTTGCTAATAAAGATACAATAGGCTACAGGGTTTTAAATTAATACCTGATGTCATTTATGTCCTCGTACATCTCACCATCACTTCCTTGGTCCTGTAAGACAAAAATCATTTTCAGTGGCTTAGATACATCTGGAAAGAAGAAAATGCACCTGTTATATGAACTTCATATGGACTATATAAAAACATTTACAGCAAGATGTAAATTCAGATGTTCTCAAGTCTAGTTACTACATTTTCAGACTCATTCTTTTTTCTTTTTTTTTTTTTCTCCTGACTTTATATTTGTGATATCCCAGTTATAAAGCCCTGAATTTTTACTATTACAGTAACAGTAGCACAATGCTTCATCAAAAGTGGCTGTTTTAATTGCAATGCTAGTCCTGGAAAGCCTTTATCTGCAGTGATTACTGCACTGCCATGATGAAAGTGCCACGGTTAATAGCAGCAACTAATACCCCAGTCTGGAATGCTTGGGATCAAAATGGAAGACAGATTAGGTACTTGAATACATCCAGACAAACCTGTGCTTAACTGATGCAAGTCATTCACTACCAAAATAGAACAGGGCCCTTGTTTCTGGGAAAGCTCAGTAAGATTAAATGTCAGAAGAAATAAAAGGTTTTTTTTACACTCTTTTTTTGTTAAACACTCTTTTGTTAAAAAATAAAAACCAAGTACTGGTGTCAAGCCAGCTTTGATAATTAGCTCTGCTTACACAGTTTTATTTATGCCCTTCATAATAAGTACTTCTACAATTTATTGTCAATATGGCTGGATTAGCTCCACAACTAATTTTCTAATTAATTGGAAGTAACTTGCAGTAAAATGAATAAATTTATCAGGAAGGATAATGCTTACCCCATCTTTATTTCCAGGACCTGTTTAACAACAACAACAAAAAAAACAAAACCAACATAGGATATTATTTTTTTGTTGTACGAAAGCAATCCACTCTAGAGTTAACTCTTTACAGACTGCTGAAACATAAGTGGCATTAACTGGAAATAAATGTAGACTCTTGCTTTCAATTAGGATCTGAGAGTGAAAAAAACAGAGGTTTTCAAGGTATTTTTTCTTGTACTTTGTAAAGTAGACATACCTGCCATAAACATTTTATTTCACCTGCTGTTTTCTAAAAAATAGCATATTTCATTACATTTTTAGAGGTGAAAAATTTGTTTTCAAGATTCTTCAGTGACACTAATATACCTATGCAATTTTTATGCAAAAATGTCTACTTACATGAGAGAATCAACGTTAAAAAAAGACAAATCAGTGTGAGCAGACCACATAAAATTTTCTTGCACCAGCCCTGCAGCTGAATAGGGGGTGCAAAGGTTTTCCTGTTAAGCCAGTGTCTGCCCTGGGCTGCAGGAGAAGGAAATTTGAATCCACCGTTTCCTCCTCCCTGCACAGGTAAGCTAGGTAAGCAAAGAGCTTGGGCTCAGATGCTGCTCCAGCACCCACACTGCTGTACAGCACAGATGGCCATCACGCTAAAGGACACATATTGTGCCTGGCACAGACTGATGCCTCCAGAGCAGAGATCAGAAGGCAGTCTGAAATTCTTAGTGTTGCAATCTGCTTGCTTCTCTGGCTGCTCCTGGTACAACGCAGCCACTCACTGCCTCTTACAGAAGGCAGATCAGAAAGAAAAAAACACTAAAAGCACAATGAATATATTATTATTTTCTTAATCAAGTATAAAACAATGCCTGTTTCACCAGGGCACACAGCTTCGGCTCTGAACGAACAGCATTCATTTGGGTTCCGATTTTCAAATCTGGTAATTTGCTGTCCCAGTACATTTAACAGAACAACAAAATAAAAACGGAGTAGGGGAAGAGGGTGGAATAGAGATATTTAAAGCAGTTCTTGTGAGTATGTCATATTAATTGTAAAACAGCTATATGAGAAAAACTTCTTCACTCATAAAACTGCAGTACCAGCATAATCACTTACACGAATCATTCACAAACACATTAAGATAAATATGCCTTTGCTTCTCTTATAAATGCAATTTACTTACAGCTTCATATAGCTGTTATTAATTAGAACTTACCCATCCTACCCTGTAAAAGAAATTCAACGTCATCATAATTTTCTTCAGTGTCTGGATTTCTGTAAATAAGAAAAAGGGAACATGTGAAAGCTATAAAGATGATTTTATGATTGTATTTTCATATAACTATTTTTTTCTGGTGCTTTCTTCAATTATTTTACAGAAAGGCAGGGCACTCTGTTAAGCCTCATACGTTCCTTAAGTAGTCGTGCAATTCCCTAAGCTGCTCTTCCTGCGATTCCGTTTCTCACACAAGGGACACCTGTGTGAATGGAGAAAATGAGCTGAAGGCACTCAGATACCATGGAGATGGGTGTGGTATGAGAAATCAGTAGGCAGATGGGCTGACCCAACCGAGTGTGTTGGTCATCTTAATCACGCTCACAGGTGAGGGCTTCTCACACAGCGTACAAGCAGAATGCCAGATGTTTTGCACAACGTTAAATATAGCTCCACAAATTGCTCCCTGACTTGTATGGCAAGTGCAAACAAGGGACGGGAGAAACCACATTGTAAGGGTGGGCCGGGTACAAGGGCTCTGGTGTTGGATCTAAAAGTGCTGTCAAACCGAGAGAAGTAAGAAACTGAAAATTTAGCCGGCAATTACATTGGAGATCTCTAACTTTTGAACACTTTATAATAGTCGAATGAGGACTATCGACCCGAGCATTCATTCATCAGAGAGGCGTCACGGGAGCGAGGCGGGGAGAACGAGAACCCCCTAACAAACACCGAGCGGGGCCGCCGCCGCCAGGGGGGGACGCAGTGCGGCTCCCGGGTGCAGCAGAGCCCAGGGCGCTGCCGGGCGCTCCCGGCTCCTCATCTAGCTCCCCGTCTGCTCCTTGAAGCCAGCTGCTGGCAGGAGGAGAGCTCGATATTATCCTCGGCTTGTTTCCGGTCACTTTGCACGCCGTAAAGAAGTGCTCTCTCCTCTTCGCTGCTGTAGGTTTCCCGATTAGCTGGCGGCTTTTCGAAGAAGGGCGAAGTAAGACCGAGGCGTAACAGAGGCTTCTAATATTATCGCGGGCGGCCAGGCTGCGTTCCGTCGTGCGGTTTCACACCCACCGCTGAGCTCGGTTCCTCGCGCTCGCACGGGGGGGTGTCAGCTAAGACAGACTGACCCTCCTGACTCTTTTCCTCCGGAAAGATGCGCTTGCGTCGGCTTGCGTTATTGACTCGGCCGACTTTCTGCAAGCATACGAAATGTACCCCTCTTTGGAGTACAAAAGCCAGCAGGGTGTCTGTCTGCTCCCTCCCCTACCGCCTTAGCAAGGGGCAGAGAAAGCGTTCTTACAGATAACGCTATATGGGGAAACAACTAAATGCACAGAGAATAGAAACTTTTCCGTACAGGGAGGGAAAGGGTAACATGAGCAAAATGCCCAGAAAACTGGAAAACTATCTTCAGCTGCTACTACATGAACCAATAGGCAGAAATAGGAGAGAAGACAAAGGACCTCGGATGTTAAGCTCACTTACATTGTTTCAGAGCTGGGCTTGACATTTCTGGGCGGCAGGCTGGGAGCTGCAGGGGTGTGCAGGGATGGGTGAGAGGCTGGTGGAGGAGGTGGTGCAGGTGGGGAGGCTGCTGCTGGGGAAGGGGCCATTTGTTTAAACCCTTCATTCTTAGGTCCTGAAAAGCAAACAAACAAAATAATAATAATAATAATAATAATAATAATAGTAAACAAAACAGAACAGACTAAATTAACCAAGCAAACAGCTCAAGAAGCATAGAAAATGGAAACCTTCTGCCTAGAAGAATTTAATGCCTACAACAGTCCTTGAAAATGTTTTTGCAAATGTATGAATAAGATACTAAAACATAAGTTTGTCCAATGTATAAGCTGTTGTGCTCTTGAATTATCATTTATTCTACAGTGCGCCTGCAATGATCAGTGCCACGGAAGCAGTGATGCAGTCTTGCTAGAGTTTTCCTTGCTCAGAAACAAAGTTTAAAGGGAAAGGATGAGAAATGAAAAGACTTTTTGATATCAATTAAAAGCTGTACAGATCTCTGTACAGCTTGAAGTAGATTTGTAATGTCAGCTATAGAAGATAGGATCTAGTTTTTTAACTGGCAAGCCTATACTAGAAAAGATGCAGTGTGGGAAGTTACACCCTCAACAAACAGGTGTAGTCTTAAAAACAAGATGATGCAGTGCAGGAGAAACACAGAAGCCATAATTATGTGAGTAGACTGCACTGTGTACTGCACTGAATGTGTGCTCCACACAGAGGCTGCAACCAAAACTGTTCTAACTATTGCTTTGAGAGTTCACATTCAGAGAAGTTACTGACACATATTCAAATAAAATCACTGCCTGGATGCCATGATGTTAAGCACAGGATTATATTTTAACTAGCATTAGTGGATTAAAAGCTACCCAGAAGGAATTCTTCCCAGCTGTATGGAGCAAAGTCCAGCAAAATCTGAGAAAGAGAGGAGCAGGAGGAGAAAGGGTATTCACATGTCAGTTAAACCAACAACAATCAAAAAGAACCCTTTTGTCTTCTGGAGGTCCTCTTCAAGTTTACACCTGTGTAGTGAGATGAATATCTTGTCGTGAACAGAGTAATCTTCCAAATTGTTGGGAAAAAGAAGTGGCTTAAACACAAAGCAAGAAGTATTTAGTAGTGGTTAAAATCCAGACTGAAACTGTGTAAGACTACTGAAAGAGCTTTCCTTAGCTGTTTGGGAATTTGGGAATTTGAAATTCAATGGAAAAAGCTCTTGTACAGATTCTCTTTTTGTAAATTTATAAAACAGAATGTTTAATTTATCCATAACGCATGCACAAAAAAAAATGTTAAGAATCCCATTACCTGTCTCTTTTGGGATGATGTCATTTTAACAATATCGTGAGACAGAATGAGGAGCCTGAAGCCTATTGTGTTACAGAATAAGACGGTGGGCAATATAAATGTTCTGTGCTTCATTTCTCCACTTCAGATCATTGCTGGCGGCAGAAAACAGGAGTTATTCTTATCTCCTTGCATTAGTAGACATGAATGTGACAGGGTAGTTGCTATACTATGTTTATTTTACCTATTCTTGGTAACAAATACCAGAACAAACTGAATTTGTCATGTACCCATCTACAGTGCTGGCCAGCCATTTGCTGCTCATGTGTGCATGAACAGTACTTCTTCCTGATAACCTCCTAGGCTGTAACTGCTGTAAGTTTAGATAAGCTAAACGCGGCTTCTGCATGTTAACAGTTCTCAAAAAAATTATCTTCCATGGACTTGTGCAGTCTCTCCTTCTCCCCATGCAAGTGCACTGTAATGACAAGATGCTGGCAAGAATCACAAAGTCTACATCAACCCATGTTGGAAAGGGGCTGTTAGGACCACCTGACCCAGGCTCCCCTCCAAGCAGTCAGTAAGTAGCTCATGGCTTCTTGAAGCAATACCTGAACATACATATCAACAAAAGTAAATTTGATGAGATTAAAATGTGTGAGATCATAAACTTTTAATGCCGAAAGTGCAGTTTTCTTCAAAAGCCTAGCCCCAAAACAATGTGAAATAATACCGAGTACTGAAGAGACTGCAGCAGTGATAACGTGCACCAGCTGGAAAGAGCCAAAGTGGGAATGATTAGAGATCTTGAAAAAGTGAATTCCTGAGACCTGAATGAATTATGCTTATTTTGGTGAAGATGACAAGACTGAAGGAAAGCAAAAAAGCAAAAAAGAATACATTAAAGTCTCTGGCAAAGTAAAACAGTTCTTTTTTAAAAAATAAAAGATAAAAACAAATCACCCCCTGCTTCTCCATTTATATGGCAGAGAAGACAAGAAGTAATGAGCTTAAAGACCAGCACTAGCTATTAGGAAGCATTTTCTAGTTTTCCTGTTTTGGAACTGCAGGCAACCAAATACCAATCTAAGGAGCATTAGCAAAAAGCTTTTTTTCTCAAAACTTTCTAATTGTACAAAGATTTCTTAAGGGTAGAACTCAAAAAAATTAGTGTTTTTGTCTCAAAATTGTTATGTATTAGACCTTCTTGTCACATCACTGTCCTTTTTCAGCTGTCAAGTTGTTTATCCTCTGTCTTATCTGGATCTTTTTTTTTACAAGGCACTGAACTACTTAATTTTCACTTCACTTTTATTTAATTGTCATTTATCTGTTCGGAGTCTCTATTCATTGAGACTACCAGCAATAATCCCTTATTTCTCCAAAGTCCCTGATGAAGATTAATACAACTGACTGTTTAAGCATTTCTCTGCAGCTGGATCCTTTCAAGTGGATTCTAATCAAAGAATGAAGGCAGAAAGACTGTTTTCATAAAAGTGATGTTATTTGGTATTGATTATACTCTGAAATTTTTGTGTTTTAACTGTCAATCCCATATCAACTTTTCCACGGTGATTTATCATGCTACAGTATTGCTTCACTGTGATTAGTTTGTAAGACTAAGTAATGATTCTGCTCAAGTTCCTGTGCATAGTACTCCTTCCACCCTCTCAAGAGCCAAATCAAAGCAAAAAGAAAAAACGTCAGGAAAGAACTCCATATGCATTTTAGATTAAATACCTTTTAATTCTTTTTAAGTATGAGGATTGAACAACCTATCTGTTTTTATCTATTTTCATTGCTTGAAGCTTAGATAAACTGAATGGTTATCATGGTAATGGAAACATAGCTTTTTCTGTTCTCTAACTGTTGAAGTGATTTAGAAGTGCAATTACCTACACCTACACAAACTGAGACTGCTCTGAGTATAAAATGCTTCAATTCTAATACTGAAAATAATGGGATGAGTGAAATAGGAAGGCAACACTCAGTATGAAAAGGCTGTTAGGAGGCTTACAGAGACAAAGCTATATGATGTTTCAGTAGAAATTTATCTATCTATCTATCTATCTATTTGTATTGGAGCAACTTAATTTTATCCCCTATTCTCCCTAGTACTCCGAGGATTCAGAAAGGTTCTGTGCTGGTACAGGAACTGAAATCAGCTCTGGACAGTCAGTATGAGAGATTAAATCAAAACTGTCTCCTGGTTAAGGAGGCGCCTAAGGGAAGCCACAGAAAACAATGTGATGGACCATCACTGCATGACAGCTTTGATTACTAACACTACTTCCAAATGGCCTCTTCTCTGTTCTTTGCTTTTTCACATACCAGGAGGTGCTGAGAAAGCAGATAAAGAAACTGAAATTCTTGACAAAGAAATGAAAGACTGGATGAAATGGAATTAGTTCCTCAAGTCATGTGCAGCTGTAGAGAAGCTAAGAGAAGTTTGCCATAGAAACTTTCCATAAAAATAATTAAAAATTGCTGCTAATTGTGATTGATACTAAACTTTTAAAATCATCATTAGAGCTGTAGCACTCACAGCAGAACTGAGCACAGAACACTGTAAACTGTTCTCCTATGGGCTTGGGGAGCCTTTTCTAACCATTTCTGTATGTGCAGTTAGCAGAGGTCGCCTGCATTCCTGCAAAACATTTGTATATCAGGAAATTCAGGACACTGAAATTGTCTTGATGTAATGTATATACCTTGACCCTTGCCATTGCTGACTTGTGAAGGAGATAATGAAATATCTTCAGTAGCTAATACAACATCTAGAGACAGAACTCATCTTCACTTTTCATCCAGGTATTCTGCATTATAATTTTAGTAAAAATCAGCCTGAGTATAATAGTTCTCAGTAACACCCATGCTTTACTGTGTGAATTCAAAGAGAAACTATAGAAAACAAACAAACAACAGCAACAACAAAAGCATGGAAACAAAATATAAACAGATAAACCCAATTCCTTGGCACCTCTGTACTCTGTGCAGTCACACAGAAGTTTAAGATTAGTAAAAAGGGATGATACCCTTTCTCTCCTTACTAAAAGTCATCCATGACTGCCTCAAAATGCTGCATTTCTCAGCCCTGAGATACTGACACCAGAAACACCTAGCAGACCTGGAGGAAAACCCCAGCAGCACCTGTATTCCTTACTGAAGGAACACACACAATCACAACGAGCAGTGCTGAGATGAAACAGGAATCTGATGAAAGCCAGTGCTTCAGCAAGGACGTACTCTCCCCAGTCTTTTTCAGACTCGCAAGTTTTATGATATGGGCTTCAATGCTGACAAAGCTGAACTGGCACATTTCTATATATCCTCTTCCCTAAATATCAGGGTGTTTCATTGCTTGGATGAGAGGCTAGCAAACAAATGAGGAACAGTATCAAATTCTCAGCCTGAGCAGATCAGAAGCAGTCAAAGAAAAAAGCACAGTAAAGCACTCACAGCTGCAGTTCAGTTCCCATGAGTTGAAGGTACAAACTGCTGATCAGTTCAACCTGCGATTCCTTGGCGCTAAGCTATTAAGTAGCAATGATGAAAAATAATAGTTTTGATAGTTGCCCATGAGGTAGGAAGCAATCCCATTCTGCACAGCTTCAGCTCTTCATATTTTTCTTGAACCTTGGCTGGATTGCAGCAACTATGAATGCCTGCTGAGACTGAAAAGGACCTCTGGAGGCTATTTGGTCCAACCTCTGCTCAAGCAAGAACGGTCGGAGCAGGATGCCCAGGATCATGTCCAGACTGCTTTTGTAACCTTAACTGCAAGAACTGTGAATTACATGTAAGGTATTGGGCCACAGCATCTAGGCC